GGGGGCGGGGTTTGCCTGACGGTGGGCGGGGCCTGGCCAAAAGTTGCTTGAGGTCTTTGCGTTCACCTACAGCCTCATCCATGCTTTTTATGGACAAAAAAGGGTCCTTGTGAGAAGCATAGGAGTGGGCGGAGTTTGTCAAAAGGGGCGAGGCTAATACATGAAGTACATCTGAGCCTATGTTGATTATATGAACAAAAACTGAGAGGATTGGACAGATAGTACTGAATTTAAGGCCGCCGCGCACCATTGCGCGGCGTCGCCACAGGGACAGACTGCCTTCCGCGCACCATTGCGCGGCACTGTCGTCAACGTGTTAATTGAAAAATGTAACTTTTTATACGAGAAGCTAGGAATGTATTTAGGTATTCATTGAATCTCTCTCGTCGTCCGCTTTCAAAAAAAATGTATGGAATGTGGGGAGGAGGATGCTAAAAGTACTTGATGAATGGTGGGAGAAAGCATTTCCTTTATGTCTTCCGAAAACGTGTTTTAGAACCCAAACCGTATGATTTCCTGTCCGAGTTTGAAAATTATAAGAAAAGTCGAAACAATGACTTTTTATGGAATCAATCACTGACTTTTCATGGATTTCGCCATTTGTTTAGAGCATTTGTCCTTTGTTGAAAAGAATGCAACTCAACTATGCACCGATGATTAAAGTTCATTTATTATTAGGTTGTCACATAGCTCTTGAGACAGGCTCATTTCTTACGGCGATAAGTCATACAGTTCCCATGTTCAATAGGGGTCCAGAATACCATTCGATAGAGCGAAACAAGCTCTACAAGATATGATGCAAACGTTCATACCAACTTCGACCCACTATAAATTTGCATCCAAAATCTGAGTCGTACCGCAAACTCAAAAAATCGCGAAAATTCATTTCAAAAAATTCCCACAAGTCTCCAACTTGCTCATAAAAATTGCAAACTACATTAGACACTCATATGTATCGTTCATGGATTTCTTCCAGAAACCGTGCAACGACCGAACAGGTGGGTTTAGCTGCCAATGCATCGACTTTAATAGTCCCAGGACGCTCTTCTATACTGCTCTTTCACGCACTTCTCGGTGGTTGCAAACGCTTTCCAACTCAATTTTTGCTCCTAATTCAAGAACTTGGAAATAGACTCAATTGTGGGGGGCGCTACTGGGATAAGCCTAACAAGAATTTCTACCCGCTGGGGCACGCATGGTTTCGCTTATTCGCCGTGGTTCTCATCCTTTTTGTTCGCTCGAAAGTGAATGTATATCTCTATTCTGTCATGTTTGTGCTTGAGCTCGTACTGAGATTATCATTCCCACCCCGAAAAGAGTGTCGAAAGCAAATTTTAAGGGACTAGTACCTTCTTGGTTTGAAACAAACACTATAGTTGCTGTTGGAATTTTTTCAAGGACCATGTATTAGTCAGAGTGAAAAGAACATACTGCAGTGGTGTGAAATCTATCTCTAGGACAACCGAACAAATAGTATCTAGCCTTCCAACTCGCCCAATGTTACCCGCAAATTCTCTCGCTTGTCTCTGAGAGCAAAAAGCCTGCTTTTCCGCATGTTTGTCATTTGAATTCTAAAACCTCCAAAAAAAACATTGCGCCCATCATGGAGAATTTCTGGAAAGGATTTGAAAGAGAAAAAATGGCTTAACCGAAGCTAGAAACGAAAATTCTTGTGATCTGATTTCATGCACTTTTTTGTTTGTGTATAAGACAAAAGTTTTTGAACATCCGGTCTTTGCAAAGATATGAATTTTTCTTACGTCACACTTCATCCGTATTTTTGTATAGCCTGAAATTACATTCTCGGTCGTTCAGGACCAACTGTGGAGACACGTACTGGGGCCGTATTTATCAACGAACCCAGTGGGTTCCGGAACCCATTGGGTTCGCGAACCCTGTGGGTTCCATGGGTTCGCGAACCCACTGGGTAAGATCGATATTCACAAGTGCCCCGCTGGGTTCGCCAACCCATGACGTCACCAGTGTGCCTCCTTAAGTCGGTGTACTATTTTCCTCATTTTCCCACGCACAGGGATCGCGCTAAAAGCGTCAGCACGCTTGACACGCTTTCGAGAACTCTTATGTTTGGATGATTGCCACCCAAATGTCTTTTGTGCGACGAAACTTGCAGTTTTGCTTTAATCGAGTATTCTTTCGGATTCAATGACTATCAACTATAATATGAGTGGAAATTGATGCAAAAAGAGGATTCTACGGACAAGTGTTCTTGTTCAAAGTTGTTTCTTACCTTTAACATAAATATTTTTCCAAATTCTTTGAAGATTGCGCTACATAACTGACATAAATGAATCGCGCAGTTTGAATCAAATGTTATAGCGCAAGGAGTAGCTAGGTTTTATTTTATGGATGGTTTTGCTACACATAACAAGTGAATCTATGCCTTTTCGAACTCTTACTTCTAAACAGAATTCTAATTACCAGTGACAAGGTGCATATTCGCTAGAAGCACTCAGTCTTTTTGTTCATTTGTATTTCTTGTGCGATGATGCCCGAATACCCGGAGGGGGAGAACGTTTTCTTTGGACTGGAATGTGCAAAGGGATCATCGACAGAGTTCCAATCACTGTGATGCAAACTAATACGTGATTACCATGATTACTACTTTTTCCCTTCCTATTGATTTCTGCTTCACGAGACGGTTTTGATTAAAGGCCGTTTTTTTTTTCATTTTTGAAGCTTTTGTCCGCTGACTTGCTCGGATTAAGAACAAAAACTTTTTTTTATATTAATCTGCGGAATAAAGGAACATAGACGAACATGGACAAACATAGACACACGCTCACACGCTCTGCTTCCTATATGTAAGATAGCCTGAGCAAACAAGGCAAGTTTTAGGCTCTTCAATTTGACGCAAAATTTCCGTCAGAAAGCCTGTTTGCGACTTTTTCAAAGACCGCCAAATGGTAACTGGCATCAATTTTGCTATTCCTACATCTCAGTGGAATACCTTATCTAAATTTATCCAACAAAACTCCTAGTTATGAAAAATATGGAAAGTTCTTTAATGTGTATGTGTTGCTAGTAGTAACCATTCCTACATAAAATAGTCCACTTAGTTTTCAGCAGAGCGACTGGGTTCGCATGTAATCCACTGAGGAATTTGCACCATGCTTGAATTCGCCAACCCAGCGCTCAGGGGTTCCGGAACCCACGAGAACTGGGTAACTTGTTTTGTGAATACCGGTATGCTTGACTTTTGGGTCCGCGAACCCACTGGGTTCGTTCGTTGGTGGGTACCGGTGGTTAAGTGGCTTTTGTGGGTTCCGAAACCCACTAAGTAGGCTTGACCCACTGGGTTCCGGAACCCACTAGTTTCGTGAATACCGATTTTGTGGGTTGAGCCTACCTAATGGGTTCTGGAACCCACTGGGTTCCTTGATGAAAACGGCCACTGGTGGGAAGTTTTGGATTCGCATGTACATGTTTTATGTTTTGATTTCAAGTTTTTGGTTTATGTTTTTTCATCTCGTTATCCTACTTGTTCTGTACTATTGCGTCTAATTTAATGAAATAAAATTGAAATGAAACGTCTTATTTAATTGTTATAGCGCACAATGTTGAAGATGCTTGACCTCATGCCACATGCCTAACGTCCCTCAATGAAAGCTTGACGTATGGATCAAATGCCATCTTCAGAATGGCACGCCTGCGAGTTTGAAAAAGCCATAGCTCCACTGAAGGCAGGGTCCAGGCAAAAAGCCGATTTTGATGATTCCTGGCTTACCTGGGCCTATTCGCTGAATCCGAAAATCCACACTAAAGAGCGCAAAAACTTCGAAAAAGAACTCTACAGCAGGAGGATCAGCATGTGGGCTGAACCTTCCACTCTGGTCACCTCCCCAACTTTCGGAGGATCTTTTGATTTTACTAGCCGCCCTAACATCGCCACCGGCTAAGCGCAAATGCATGATTTGAAGCCGAAACCGAAAAGAACGCTCTGGAAGTTGGGGCGGGGGGGGGGGACTCAACGGAGTGGAAGGCCCCGCCAACCTGCTAATTTTCCTACCACGTTAGAACCCTTATTCGTTATTTTCGCGCTCTCCAGTGTGGATTTTCGGATTCAGCGTAGCGAATAGGCCCAGGCAAGCAAAAAATCTCAAAATCAAATTCTTGCTCAGACACAGTCTTTATGCTGCCTTCCGAGAGCGCAATCATATTCGTGAACCCAACCTCCCTCCCCCCCCTCAGCGAGTCGGGCACATTTGTCCGCTAGGTCCCTGAGTCAAAGCTATGATCCGCGGTTCCAGTCGCCGGGCGATTTGGCGAAGTGCCACTGTTTGCCCGCGGTAAATTCGTTTTCATCACGATACACTTGTACTCTGCGCACTATAGCGAAAGCCACTGTCACCACCTTTCAAAAATGGCCCTATATTAAATCTTGCAGCGACAACCGCGCGAGATTTGGTTTGTTTTGATGGCAGTTCTAGCGCTTGGGCGATGGCTGCGTTCTTATGCCTTGCGCCTAAGGCGAGCTATGCTTGGAGATAGAGGATACTTCATGAACGCGGCGTAAGGGCGACAGAGGATCCCAGCTGCTGGAGCACTATGCCATTGTTATTGGACAGCCTGTAGGCTCAAGCCTAAATCATTAAACTGCTTTCTCGTGTCCTTTTGACTTACAGTATAGATGCCTTCATATCAGATATTCCTTTGATTTTTCTTGGGCAGGCAATAAGGTTGTGCATAAAGTTATTCCGATGTTTAGTTTTTTATTCGTTAAATTTTCGTACGTCCAAATAACCACAGAAACAAAGGAAAACAACAAGAAGCAGGGAACAGCTCATATGGAATTAGAAATGGATGTTGTATGGTACACTAGTGAAATTGTTAGCTTTGGATGTTAACTTTATCTGTCACGTTGACCGCCCACATTCTCGAATACCCTTCAAAATACATTTCATTCATATCCTGTGTTTTTCCAAGAGCGGCCAACTTCGTTGTTCGTTTGTGAGATGACCATCTCATCAAAAAGATGAGAATCAATGGCGAGGCCAAAGTATAGTACGGCATAATCTGTAATCGCATGCTTTTTGAGAAACTGAATAGACAGGAACTTACGTAGGCACCTGTCATCAAAGTACGAAAAGTTATCATAGGGATGCTGCTTTCAAAAGTAAGCAAGACGACAGCACTGATGGATAGTGACAAAAGACATATTGTTTGGAACACCGATAGTGGGATTATAGTGCGAATCACATCAAGATTTTCTTGAAGCTGATATGACGACTGCAGATCGAAGCCCTTCCTCAAACAAAACGAATACTTTTGTGAATTAGTCTTGACCACGGCAAGAGATATAAATTCAAAACCAAACTCTTTTTCACGCAACTAAGAGGAAAGCTTCGGTGGTTAGACCAGTGCCAACCTCAGCAGACGTACTAACTGGTAAGAAAAGGCAAAGAGGTCTTCCGTGGCCGTAATCATCAACAATCCCATTGGGTAGGCTTAAAGGCAGTGTCCGGGTAAATACTCGATTTTAAGATTTTGTGCTTATACGGGCCTATTCGCCATGCTGAATCCGAAAGTCCACACTGGAAACCGCGAAAACGGCAAAAAAGGGCTCTAGCGCAGGTTAGAAACAGCGAGTGGGCGGGGTCCTCCCCACTGTGAACTCACACTCCCAGCTTCCGGAGCAATTTTCTCGATTCCAATAGCCGTCCTAACATCGCTACCGGCCAATTGCGAATGATTGGGTTGAAAACCGGAAGCGAGTAGATCGCTCTGGAAGCTGGGAGCGTGAATTCACAGTGGGGAGGACCCCGCCCACCTGCTGATTTCCCTCCTGCGTTAGAGCCTTTTTTCGCCGCTTTCGCGCTTTCCAATGTGCATTTTCGGATTCAGTGTAGCGAATAGGCCCGGGTAAGCACAAAATTTCAAAATCGAGTTTTTGCCCTGACACTGCCTTTAACCCACGAGATCGGTATTCACAAAGCTGGTATATACGCGAATCCAGCAGTACTTTTGTGAATATCGATCCAACCCCCTGGCACTGTTTTCACTTACCCATTGAGTAGCGGAACCCACTGGGTTGACAAATGTGGCCTCTAGTGCTTGTTAACCAGGCAATGATGACCATCTGTGAAAGGTGAACTATTCATTCCAAAAAAGTTGTTTGGATTACAGGCACCACTGCAGTCGATCGATTGAGAACAAGCATTGTTCTCAGTCTTGCAACGGCTACTGCCACTGCAAGTCACGCTCGCTGCAACTGCGGCACTTTGTGCTGTCGCTGCAGTCGGCGCAATCACTCAGCGACTGTCGCGACTGCAGTCTGATGCAACCTATAAGCTTTGTAATATATAGTTCAGTAGATTTTCCGCTTGATATAGTGTGCTTGCAGTGCAAAGATTGTGCAAACTTGCACGTGAACAAATAGCCACTCTCAAATAAACCCTCAATTGCTACTGCGGCTGCATTTTCGCAGTTTCTGAGTGTTAGCTGGAGTATCCGCTGCAGTAGATTAAGGACCTCAAGTCAGCCGCTGCATCACTCATTAATGTAATTGCACTACCTAGCGTCTGAGTATTAATGCCTGCACTTTGCACTTAAATGGCCACATTGTAGTCTTTATAACTCCCTTCTCACAAAATCGTTTGTCGACATAGATACTATTCCATAGAGATGGCTTAAAATTAGTTCTACAGCATGTGCGGATCACATTGCCCCTCATTACTGTAGGCGGTAGAATTTGGCTCCAAAAAATTCCCAGATCTAAAAATTGTAAAGCACGTTTTCGCGCATACTAATATCATTAATTAGGTTTCCAGGCTTTGTAGATGATGTAGTTATTTGAGGAACATTGAAGAAAAAGTTATCACGGTATTACGGATGGCGAACAGTAAACTGCAATTTTCATATTTACTGTCAGCGACTTTGACACCCAGTATAAGGGAAGTATAAGAGAGGTTGGGGGAGGGAAGAACTCGACGGATACTTGACTCTATGTCTTAAGTCACATGGCGACAAGAATGCTTGCGAGAGCAGGCTACTGGACTGGTGAATGTCGCGGAGCGACAACCGTTAGCGGAAATTTTACGGAGAATGCGATTTATGATCAGTTCCCGTTTCACCCTCAACAGAAGGAGAAAGGTTGGGTTTGTGTACGTGCAAACTATCACAGTAAGCAGGGAAATCACGAAGACATGCCATGAAATACCTATGGTTTTGCTCGTAGTCTTACTTCAAAAGTTATTCTGATTGCGTAGGATTTTTGCTTCAGTATCCTGCTCATATGTTCTTGTGCCACACACCTCATGGAACCTCTGCGGTAAGTTTGTCTCAAAAAACCTTTGCTTATGAACTTTAGGATTGTGCAATAGTTGAGACCTCGAAGATTGGGCAATGGGAAGCCGTTTCGCTTTGGAATTTTAGGCTATCGCGCTTCGACTTTCTTTCGTAAGCAAGTGGAAAGAACGGAATTAAAAGTAAAGATCTAAACTTTACGGCAGAGGCAGAAAGTTATTTTGTCCCACCCAAAGATCTCTTACAAGGAGAGGATACTTAGTCGAAAGCACCGATCCAGATGAGACATACATCGTCGTGACCTGCTCGGAGCGCTGATTTCAAATCTGGCAAAATCAGCTGCGGAGCGCCTTTGGGTGAGGAGCTATGACCGTTTCAAGAGCCAAAAATTGAATGGGTAAAGAGAGTAAAATTGATTGTTACAACATGTATATTTCGCAGATAGACTCGTTTTGAATGTGAGTATAGCAGACAGACATTTTTCTTTGCGCAGAGTAATCTGACAGACATCACTCCCCCATTCGAGCCCAACTGGAGACTTCTGCGCATAGTTTTTTTTCTTCCCTTGATTTCAAATTTTCTCCACAAAAACAACCATAACTCGTTGCCCAAAGGCGCTCCGCAGTTAATTTTGCCAGATTTGAAATCAGCGCTCTGAGCACGTCCAGATGATATATGGCTCATCTGGAATGGTGCTTTCGACTAAGTATCCTCTCCTTGTTAGTTGTGCGGCCACACCTGCCTGAATCTGATTGAAACACTCACCGTCTGACTGCAGCCGCATTGAGGGAAAACACTAGCATAGCCATTCCCAGAGCAACGATATTGATGCCACAGCAGATGTACGATCGTATTTTGATTCTATTTGCTGTCTCGGCAGTACTGACTGAGCAATAAACAGTTTGTGTTTCCAGAATCATAGGAGCAAACGACCAGGTACTGAACGCAGTTCCTGCAGTCACGCAGCATCCTGCTATAACAAATCCGAGAGTAGATCCTGTTTCTTCGTAGTGTTTTCTTTTCCACAAGGCAATAGCGCGTTCGGTCATCACTCCAAGCTGAAATTTTCCGTTCATATTCTATTTCACTAGCCGATGTTTCCGTAGTCTTAATTATTGGAAATGGCATAATAGTTACTGGTACAGAAACGCTAGAGTCAAACCGGGCTTTTTTTTTTCAACTACCCTAAAATCCCATAGATAAGAGCGGTTTAATTTACCGGTGAAAAATGAATTGGAAGAAATTGAAATTGAATGCAGTCACCCCTTTAACTTGATGGATGGATAAATAAAAATCGGAGAAGAAGCTTAGAAGAAGCTCCGCCCCTCAACTCTAAACCTCGCCCACTTAATAAACAATTCATATAGAAAAATAGCAATTTTAACGGAATTTCGGAATTTCTATATGAATTGTTTATTAAGTGGGCCGGGGTTTAGAGTTGAGGGGCGGAGCCTCTTCTAAACTTCTTCTCCGATTTTTATTTATCCATCCATCAAGTTAGAGGGGTGACTGCATTCGATTTCAATTTCTTCCAATTCATTTTTCACCGGTAAATTAAACCGCTCTTATCTATGAGATTTTAGGGTAAATCAAAAAAGTCATTCTAAATGTGGGACATGCACTAAAAGTCTGTGTTTCGCATTACTTTTCGTGACACCGTCGTTACGCATGCTACTGCTATTTGGCTTTGCGCTGGCAATGACATTAACCTTGCGCTTCAATATCAACTCGTTTGCACAGCTGATCTACGTGCAGTGGGTATCATAGAGAGAACTCCGAGACACAAGCCTGACGTTTTGGAGGCGCAGTTTCTCCAGCTGTCAACACCGGATAAGTGTGAGTTTTCTATAAATACCAGACATCCTCTAACTTACCATTGCTGACTTGGACGGAATTTGCTGAAAATTCCGAGAACTCGCAACTTCTCTCAATAGAACTCTGATGAGCTTTTGACTCCCATGTTTACGTCTCAAATGTATTTAGGATAATAAAATAGAACAAATTCAGCAATTATGTTTAGCTCCTTAGAAGTTTGAAATGTTATCTTTTCAAACACTTATGTCCTATATGATGTCCATTTGACAACAAATCCGCCACTCTTGACATACAGCTACATAGACCTTATTTGATCTCTCAGCTTGCCAGTTGTTCAGGAATTTGTCAATATAATTACGTATTAAGTGTTAGTTCATGATCTCGCGAATTTTACAGGAAAACTATCACAGTGATTCTCACATTACAGTCTATCACAGTGAGCGAAAGAGCCTGCGTTTGCTTGAACTGACGCGAGCGCTAGGAGCTCGCGCTGCGCCTTAAGGGCCCACCTCAACAATTGTTATGACTCTCTAGGAAAGAATTATCCCAACACATTGTAGCTTTCATCGTCCTCCTAAACCGAGGGTGGTGATTTTCTATAGCTGTATGATAGAGCGCACTTCCTGACTAACAAGGAAAGGATACTCGGTCACCGTGGCCATTTGGAATGCGATGTATACTGTAAAATGCACCTCAAAACGCTGATTCCAAATCTGTGCTCGATATCTGCGAAAGATCTTCTTAAGAAAATTATGAACTTTTTTCGTAGAAAATTTGCGTACTTTTGGGTAGTTAAAATCACCAAATTTTTTCTAAATTACCATTTGAAGCTATTGAAGAGAATGTTAAAAAATTACTGTTGTATTAGACTTATCTAAATCATATTCAGCATTTGAAAAGGAAAGAAAATTTATATTGATGATTAGCTGGCTTACCCGGCTCCGCCGTATGTTCCGAATAGATTCCATTTCTTAACCAATCCGGACCAAACTTGGCACACATACACTTCGGGCCCCGGCGGGTGCCACAGTCCACTTTTCGTTATCGATCGATATCGATTTTAGATTTTTTGCAAAACTTGAGCTACGGGGCTGGGAGTTGGCACAGGGGGGTAATCGAGTATGCTGATTACGAATATAATAATGACAGGGCCGGGCGGAGCCGGGTAAGCCCGTAGCTCAAATTTTGCAAAAAAAAATCGATAAAATCGATAAAAGTAATGCACGATTTTAAAAACTAATATTGTATTCGGAATCCCCATGCTCACTCACCCCCCTGTGCCAACTCCCAGCCCCGTAGCTCAAATTTTGCAAAAAATCGATAAAATCGATATACGATGACGAAAAGTAGCCTATGACACCCGCCGGGGCCCGAAGTGTATGTGTGCAAGTTTGGTCCGGATCGGTTCAGAAATGGAATTTACTATTCGGAACATACGTACAGACAGACAGACATACAGACAGACAGACAGACAGACATACATACATACAAACAGACATTCAGCTTTATATATAAGATTTTGACCCTCCGCAGTAACTCAGTTTATTTATGGAAAAATAATCATAACTCCATCCAGATTATCGTTTCGCAGATATGGAAGACACTATTCGAACCAGCATTGAAAGGCGCATTTTTTGATTTACAGATCATTATGAATGGCCGCGGTGACCAAATATCCTTCCCTTGGAAGTAATTGTGCTAGTCCCGCAGATAAATTCCGAAGCTGCCTCAGAAAATACAGCCGAATAGATGTTCCGCTCAATATAGTGTGTTCGCACTGTGGGTGAAAGTGGTAAAATCTGCGCGTGAACAAATAGCTACGCCTGTGACGCCAGCCGACTGTAGCGCAGAATGCCCGCATAAGTGGCGTGGCTAATTGTTTACGCGCAAATTTTACGATCTTTCGCCTTCAGTGCAAGCACACTATATTGACCGGGAAATCTACTCGACTGTACCTGCCGACACGTCCGCCCCGCCAATAACATGTGTGGTCCAAAAGTTATGTGTGTGAAGCTATAGGGGTCAGGGGCCTCGTATTATAGAGCGCTGAAATCTCACCACCCTCAGTCTGAGCGGACGGTGCCTTCAATCAGAAATGATACCACAAAGAGTCATCCGTCGAAATTTGATCGTAATGTCTTATCAGCAAACTTTGTAAGGACAATAAGAAAGAGGTTCTGTTTCGATTATGAAAACTTGTGCAGGCTCTGGACTATCTGCGCCCTAATAAAGCATAAAATATCGTTTACTTTACCGTTTGCTCGATGATATTTCTTAGCTTAATTTCGTAAAATCTATTCTACCTGAAGCAGCGCAAATGTCGTCACACAAGATGATGCTGGTAATCGCAGACCAAAGCAGAGAGTGAAGAGAAAGCAGCTTTACAGGGATCTGCATACCACAGAAATCGTGTCACATGTAGTGCCTATAAGCATTTGCAAGAACGAAGTGCATACTTTAAACTTTAGTCATTCGCACAGAGCGACCATCTTCCTTGCCTTGTCAACCGCTAATGAAAAGCGAAGTACAAGGCTTATTAAATGCAGAGTCGGATAGACCAGCATCTCCACTCCCGCGCGGGAGAATTGCAATAAAAAGAGGTGCAAAAGAGGTGCAGAGTCTCGCAGAGACTCTGCAGCTCTTTCGCAAACATGCTCTTTTATCACTTTCGCACCACGAGCGCAAGAAAGGAGGAGCTTCAATCGCTAATCAAACGTGCGAAAATGAATATAGCATGCTCGCGAAACAGGTGCAGAGTCCAGGCGAGGCCGCCATGCGGGAGCGGAAATGCGAGTGCACACAAATCTGCAATTCATAAGCCTTTTATGCACAGACGGTTTAACAACATTAATAAGGGAAAAGATCCTAATTTTGGCTTTCTTATGAGTTCGACTTTGTACTATATGATTTATCCGCGTTCCAGTTTTGCAGAACTTCAAAAAATTATAGCTTTGTACTTCGTCAATCAATCTAGCGGTCTCGCGTTGCTAAGACCCGTCACTGCAGAGGAACAGTATGCTAATCTTCAATTCTAATATACAGTACATGACATGTACGGTTTCATGATAATAAATGATTTTCAAAAAGTACCTGTAAACTTCCTACAAGCATCGAGTGGAGAAGGTACAAAAGCAGCAGAGAAATGATCAGTATCTGAAAACAGTGCACAAGCTTTTGTTAATTAGAGTCTAAGCATTGAAAGCTACTTTCAAGTAGAATCTAGGAATGTTTTATAACATCTTGTTAACGCTTTGCTACTTTGGAACATTCCATGATGTCTCGTGGATAGTATATGCTCAGACAATTATTGCGAGCACCCGCGGCCCCTAACCGTGTCCTTCGGCGGTGCGCGGGCGTCAAATTCTTGCACTGACCATCCGCGGCCCTAGATTTATTTGCTTGGCGACCCGCGGCCCAATGTTATTATCACGGAAAGGCCGCGGGCCTCAAATATTTTATCGGGACACCCGCGGCCCAAGAAAAATCACACGGGCGAGCCTCGGCCCTTACAGGACTCCCTGCATATGTAGTTTTCGGGCAAGCCCCGGCCCTCTAGCCATGACCCGACACCTCACATGTGGAAAAATGCGAGATGTTCATTCTGTTATTTCCGTAACTTCCTCTCTCCAAGACTGACTTTGATACTATTCCAAAATAGGTTGATAATTTGTTCTATGACTCACCTTACAGTTTATGTGGAAATGGGACTTGGTAAAATTTCTGACAGCAATGACTGATACAACAAAGGAGATTGCAGCGGCAACTCCTTGTGATGAGATCACCAATAGAAAGCCAGTGTCCGTAACAAGGGCTTCATAGCTCTTACATGCCATTCCTGCAAATGACAAGGTAAAATATGATCACACCATTTTTTTAGCAAGAACAGACGGGGAGAGCCCGTATCTCGATGAGAATCAAACGAAATGTGTCAAAAAACGTAAAGAGCTTTCTTTCAAAACTTGTGTTTTCTCTCCGTGGGAGTTCCGCCGCTTTTGTTAGTCTTCTGCGCTCTGTTCTATCTAAAGTTGGCCATGCATATGAAGTTTTCTCAGGTCTGCTTCAGCTCGCCATCGCAACTCAGGTTGCTCTTGGCGTCTTCCTTGGCACTTTCACTGACATGACCGATCTACTAGTGTGTCTTCTTCTTTCGGCTTCATGTGCCCATTGCCGAAGGCGTATTTCCTTGTACCTTCTCGACAGCTGTCGCACATGCTACACAATGTCATCTGACGTACACTTCAGCACGATGACTTCTATCTATCTTAGCAATCGCATCTAGTTATGCCAATCTCTAGTCGCTACTACATAAGTCGCATTCGCTCCCATATAGCGGCGTTGATTAGACAAACGTACATCGGAGACTCAAGTTTTCGTGGTTTCCGTTTATCACATTGAATTTCTTTATATTCTCCTCCTCATCCAAGTCCTTTCAAACTAGCATTTTTCTAGCCGTGCTATTACTATCTTGGGTACATTTTTGAAAAGATAGTCTTCTTGCTTAACGTGCCATCCACTTGATGGACCCAAGTGTATGCATTCGTTCCAAATGCTCTGTTACATTTAACTTCAGTATTACAATCCTGCGCGACCTTTAAAGTTTGTTAAGATTTTTGCCCGATCCGAACTAGCAGTGATGTACCCTTTCTGAAGGCATCATAAATACACCTTCCGCGGAGTTGCCAAAACCAGTGCGAGTTCTTGATTTAATCGTAAGCAGATCCCCGCAAAACTGTTGCATCGCCTCGCGTTCAAAGTGCATGGATTATCCAGTACCGCTGAGCGCTGACCAATCGACGGCACATGCATACCGCGCCACCGCAAACAATGGCAGCAGAGTGCGCAAGAAAGTGGTATCTGATTGTGAGTGTGGAATGATTAAACTTTGGACTCCGCAAAAGCAGCTGATCGATACGAGGAATACAATGGTAAAAACATGTTTACAGCAAGATTTCGAAGGAAGTAGATAACGCAAATTTTTTTTCTATACTATAGCAGCATTTCAAACAAGGGGTACGCATAATGGGGAATATAATTGTTTTTGAAGTATATAGAAGTTTCAGGAGCTCTGGATTTAATCTGTGACATGAATTGTATGATAATGCCGCAAAACGCAAACTTACAGATCCCGTAAGCAAGGTGCCAGCATCTCGAGTTAAGGGGCACTCCGAGGTGCTGGCATCTCTCTCTTGACTGAGCATACTATTGCGTGCTGTCAGACCTGCCCACAGCTTCCACCTCGCAAATCAAATTTCGGCGAGGCCGGCAGATTGGCGACAGGTTAGTTCGCGAAGTTGCCATCAGCACCTTCTGCCCTTCTCGGTTTCCTTCTATAAAGGTTGAATCTCAAATTACGATGTAAGCTTCTTAAGAGTCACTGTGGCATCCTCAACGAAGCATTTTTTTATAAAAAGGGTTTTCACGGCCTGGATGTCTCTTAATTTTCGGCGACTCACGTCGAGTTGACAACGGCCTGACGGCGAGACCTGTCCTAGGCCAGGGGATTACTACCGGCTTTGATGTACGGGCACATGTAATTGGCATTTTTCTGATGATCCTCAAGCTACTTCTACGTGGTGACGTTTTTGTGAATTCATTTTGACCCCCTGGAGGTATTTTTGGTAGGTGAGCGTGTTTTGTCGAACGCCTTCCAAATCTAAGGATGCAGCATGTGAATCACATTGTTTTCGCTTTCTTCTTTTCATAACTGTCTGGCGGATGAAATTTGACTGCTTTATTCTTCAAAATCGCATTGTTGGGCCGTTTTCGTAATGCCCGAAATCGCTTCAATTATTGTTTTGAAGTATAGACCGATGCGCAGAGCAATCAGCTATGTAAGCCTAAGCCTAAGCCTAAACCTAAGTGTCACCCTTGATACTGTAGTAGACTCTTTTTGCGGCTTTTCCTCTCTCTCGACTCCCTCGCTTTGTGATGCGTATTTTTGTGAAAATATGCCATATGCACTTCCTTCTTTTTTCTGACGCCGTACTTGCTGCACGCTTTGCATACGAAGGCTACAGCCGGACGAAGGCGCAAAAGCAGTATCAGCTGATGAGCGTAGCGCGCGCACATCTTCACCATTGTGACTCTGCGCCTTAAGCGCTCAGCGGGTAATGAGACCTCGCTTTCGCCCATAGATTTTGCGCCTTCATCCAGCAGTAACCTTCGGGTATTCTGCTGTGGTACATGTTCTACTTTGTCAAAACTCAAAACTGTCCCTCTTCACAGATTTACTTTACAAATGATCTCTAACCATCTAGAGAGCCGTGAACGAATTCCCCTATTATTTGAATGCAAAACATGCGGTTGCTGGATGCGATATTCTAGCACTATCCGAGTTATTCGAGTTTAGGATCAAATCGACTTGATTAATGTTCGTAGATCGACAATTACAACGATAACAACTCTCAGCGAGCGGTAGAATGTGGCGTTCGCTTTGCATGTCAACTATTTTTCTCTCCCGCACTGCATCTTGTAACCTATGAACTTCACCTCGTTTACTTAAAGATTCTCAAAGTAAAAAGGCAGGCAAAGCATGCTCTACAAAGTGACTACAAAATATCCGTGTGAATCGCAATCCGCATGAAGCCGATCGAGAACTAAAATCTAAAGTATTAAGCGCTCGAAAACTGGAGCCAGAAAAATCTTACAAATTGACTACTTGGCAAGCATTTGATATACGCACACAAGCACTCCTCATATAAAGTCGCCGTATTTTTTCACTTTCCTGAGAAAAAGATCAGTTGAAAACCGGAAAACACATTCGCGCCCAATGTGCCGCTAGCGACGACATTTTCATTAGTAACTTTTTAGTGAAATCTTTTCTGACCTAACACGCTGTTGAAAGGTGTACTGCTGACTAACCAATAAAAGCAAAAGAGATAAGAAAACAAGGAGAAATCACTGGAAATGACCAGGTTCTAATTCTCTAGTTCGTTAGGTAGCACTATGGTGTGCAATACGCATATTAGCTTACGAATGACTTGGCGATATTTGATCGTTTTCTACAATTTTTCAGATGTGAAACCATAAAAAATTTATCCCTGTATGTCCTCTGGTCGAAAAATATCACGTCTAGCCAAAAAAGCGAAATAGGCGACATGATTTTAGCTTATTTGCCTTCTAGACTTCTAGCCCCCAAAATTCCTGCAACTACATTTGTCAGGAAATGATTCATCATGCCGATGTAACATTGCATCAGGATCATGCAATCATTGTTTACTGGATCTTGTTTATCAGTACCTCTCTGTAACTCGGATATTAGACCAACGTTGTAATGCGGAGTAGGTATAAAAAGAGTGGAGAGTTACAACATGCATGACTGGCTACTAGCTCCCAGTCCCCCTCCCCCTTCGCTTCATCTTTCATGTATATATCTCTTTGTATAATAAACCTTAGATAGTCTGATCTTATGACAAATACACCGTAACACCGCTACACCCTCAGGCAAGGGTCCGTACACCCCTTTAACCTGATATTAAAGAGAAGGTCGTGACTGCTTCAACAGTTCACCTAGTCTTACCTCGGTATGCTAACAAGAGCAACGCTTTTTTCGATCAATCTTCAACAAGCTCGAGGACGAGCTCTTCTACAGGAATGGAGATGTCAGGATATGATTCATCATGCCGATGTAACATTGCATCAGGATCATGCAATCATTGTTTACTGGATCTTGTTTATCAGTACCTCTCTGTAACTCGGATATTAGACCAACGTTGTAATGCGGAGTAGGTATAAAAAGAGTGGAGAGTTACAACATGCATGACTGGCTACTAACTCCCAGTCCCCCTCCCCCTTCGCTTCATCTTTCATGTATATATCTCTTTGTATAATAAACCTTAGATAGTCTGATCTTATGACAAATACACCGTAATACCGCTACACCCTCAGGCAAGGGTCCGTACATCCCTTTAACCTGATACATTTATGTATTATGATGTATTTTATAACGTTTTATTATATAAAGTTGAAGACTTCCGAAAATTTTTCTGACGGTGATCCAAGTTTTGGATCACCGTCAGAAAAATTTTGAATCCAATTGAATCCATTTGATTTTGAATTCTAATTTGAGGTAGAATGACTGGCAGTTGTTTTCTGCAGCCTTGTTTACTCTATAGAATTGTATACTTTATGCATTTTCGATATTCGACTGTCGTATAAGAAACGCTCGTTACTTTTGCATCAATATAATATTTCATTGCAGTGCTTGATAAAAATTAGCCTGGACTGGAAGCTGGAGGTCGGATAATAAGATAAACAAAACTTCATTTTCGTAGTTCAGCAATAGTAGAGTTCCTTAGATGTGCTTTCGCACGTATGTACATGCAGCTCTGCAGAATCTTTTCGAGAATGCTTACAAGGAAGGCTGCGCATCGGAAAAAGCACTTTTGCACTTGGTTGATAAATAGTTTATAGTACGAATGAGATGAAGTTGGAAACTCTTAGATCAACTATGCTGGTGCTTTGAGCAATGGTGTGAGTGCCCCTAAGGAGAAGACATATGAGTTTGCAACTACGCGAAACTGCGACTAGCTGTAGAAAGGCAAACTCCACAGGACAAAGGTCTCATCACTTCAGCAGCTCAAATCCTCTAAGAAAATAGATGGTGGACATTAGAATTTCTAACCGGCTGCAAGCAAAGAAGTTAAAGAAAACAACTGCACTAACACAGTGACTTGGCAGCAATGTATTTTGGTGCAAAAATAATGCGCGTTTTTCGATCCCTGAGCTATAACCTAGCCAGAACCCCATGTTTATAGGTGGTGGAGAAACTATCAAAAACAACAGACCTTTGGTGATTCAGCGCACACGCATCTGCACTAATGTCATGACCAAA